CATCAGAAAAAAATATTTTGGTTTGATACAAACACCGATCATTAGTATATTGAGAAATATATTACCAGCACTAATACTCATAGGTATAACTGGTTGAATATATAGTGCAGATAAATACCTGAAAGACAAATGTGTTATTATGTTATAATAAGAGAAGAGTATTGTCCACATGCAAATGCAAAAAGGAAAGCTTGAACTCTCATGGTGTACTCAATATTCAAATATCATGTATGCATTAACTGACGTGTGTATATCTACTGTTGATATCACAGATGCATGATCTTGTGAATAATATTTCCTAAATGTATCGAACAATAGTAATTAAACAAACGTTAGGTAACCTTCAAGCATAATATTCAGATTTATGTAATATCACCAGAGGGAAAAACTCAGTTAAAAGAGGATGAAGGCGGTCTTGTCGGGATGGCATTCCCTGACGTCATGACGTGGGCGGAGTTTTTCTTGGACTCTTGTATAAATAGAAAGATTCGCTCTGTCGTCTTTAGTCTATTGCAGTCTCTTTCCTCTAACATGACATTCAAGGCATGTCTTTTATACGCATTATTCAAAAAGTTTAATAATTTAGAAATACCATTTTGCTTCTTCACCTCATGAATGATACTAATTAATGAACTATACTACAGGTATTTGCCCTGGCCTTCTTTGTGGTGGTCGCCATGGCCCGTCCAGATAGCCCGCCTACATATGGCTACTCTGCTCCCACACCTTCTTACGCACCCGCTAAGTACGACTTCAACTACGCCGTCAACGACCCACCATCTGGCAACGACTTCGGACATGAGGAAGTCCGTGATGGAGACAACACACAAGGATCCTACTACGTCCTTCTTCCTGACGGTCGTCTGCAGAGGGTCACCTACAATGTGAACGGTGACTCCGGTTACGTGGCTGATGTAACCTACGAGGGAGAGGCTCAGTACCCCACTCCAAAGGCGTCCTACGGACCTCCCCAGCCTTCTTACAAGCCACCCACCCCCTCCTATGCTTAAGACTTAACGCCTCTGATATCTATTGAACTCGGGTCTTTGTAAATATTATATAATAAAGTAGCATATTTCATCTTGAATAGTTTTATATCACCTACACAAGTCCTACTTCTCTTCAGCTCAGTGATGATACGAGATGAATAAAAATAATCCATTCCATTTTCATGATGGTTTAACTTTTTTTTTCTTTTTTTTCCAATTTTACCAACTACAACTTACAAAATTAATGCCAAGCGTCCACTTCTTGTACTATAGTTTTGTAAATGACAGGCACTCTCGCATATACATACATATAGTCAGATATATAGAAACTCGTCTAATCCGTCAGTGTAGCTCATGTCTGATAATGAGCATGTTTTCACTTCACGTTCAGGATTATGCATCAGTGCATGGTGCGACGAATGGAAGACGGTATTGTTAATGCATCAGATTATGGAATCACTTGTAATTAGTTTTTATGCGTCTGGCTTATTTATCATTAAGATATGTATGTGACATTTGTATATATATATATTTAGACATACATATATACGGACGCACTTATGTATTTATAGATACAGAGTCATATGTTTCAAATTGGAAATAAATTATATTTGTAGGAGGTTTTGCCTTAATCATCTGTAAAGTCTGTGCAACACTGGCTAATAGATATTTTTTTCCGAATCATGATACTATAATAGTTAAGGAAAAAAAAATCTTGAGCAGGGGCGTAACTAGCCATTTAGGGGCTCTGGCTCCTTGAAAGCTACTTTTTGACAGGATGATATTATTAACTTATCAGACCAGAAAAGACATGATTTTCTCATGTGTAGAAAAATAGAAATAACGCGTAATTTCTTTGTGGTTATTTTCACTATAGATTACAATGACTAGAACAGTAACGGGTTGGAAACTCATGTTCAGTGGCTCGCCACACAATAATGATAATAACAAAAATTTGTACGTATATATGAACTTAAAAATGGAGAATTGCATATATAATTCATCTTAAATTTTGCCATGCATGATTTACCACACCAATGGTCATCAGAAAATCTTATACAAATACCGACCATTGGTATATTAATATATTACCAGCACTAAAATATCAGATTAAGAGCTAAATATGTAATGTAATTTCTGTATTGTTCTTACCGTTCAGTTATCGGTATCCTCATGGGTGTACATGCTTCTAGAATATATAGGCAAGATAAAGACAATGACAACTTCGCTTTTAGGTCATAATAATAGGAGAGTATCGTCCATATGTAACTGTAAAAAGGAAAGCTTGAAAGCTATGTTGTACTCAATATTCGAATATTATTGTATGCATTAATTAACCTATTGATGGAGTCCAGAAGGATTTCGGAAAGTGTTGTCTCGTTTTCATAAATCTAGTTTGTGCATTGTGGGTTTTTCTACCAGAATATCAACTCATAATTGCTCAGTGTCTACTGTAGACTGTCTACAGTAAACATATTAATCAGGCCCACATTTATGTAACATCACCGGAGGGGAAAACTCACAAGAGGATGAAGGCAGTTTTATCGGGATGGCATTCCCTGACGTCATGAAATGGGCGGAGTTTTTCTTGGACGCTTGTATAAATAGAAGGACTCTCTCTGTCGTCTTTAGTGTCTTCGCGGTCTCTTTCCTCTAACATGGCATTCAAGGCATGTCCTATATACGTATTTTCCAAGGCGTTTAATAGTTAATTTCTTGGCTTCTGTCATTAGAAATACCATTTTGCTACTTCAGCTCATAAATGATACTAATAATTGAACTATACTACAGGTATTTGCAGTGGCCGTTCTTGTGGTCGTCGCCATGGCCCGGCCAGATAACCCACCTACATATGGCTACTCTGCTCCAACACCCTCTTACGCACCCGCCAAGTACGACTTCAACTACGCTGTAAACGACCCATCATCTGGTAACGATTTCGGACATGAGGAAGCCCGTGATGGCGACCACACACAAGGGTCCTACTTCGTCCTTCTTCCCGACGGTCGTCTGCAGAGGGTCACCTACAACGTGAACGGCGACTCCGGTTACGTGGCTGATGTCACCTACGAAGGAGAGGCTCAGTACCCCACCCCAAAGGCCTCCTATGGTCCTCCTCAGCCTTCCTACAAGCCTCCCACCCCCTCCTATGCTTAAGGAGCAATTCAAAGATATTTATTGATCTCGAATCTTTGTAGATACTGGTTATTAAACAAGCGATCTTCATTTCTAATAGTTTCATATCCAATAGTTTTCAATTATATTTCAGAAAACCGCGTTCCTGAAATCTCAATAGAATGTATTTCTTTTTGGCTTAATCATGTGGAAAAAAATATCGAGGAAAATGTATAGATAGCTGCCTGAAATACGGTCTATATATTTATGTTGTGGAAAATGAATGTATGTTTCAAGCGACAGTCCTTTATCTTGTGCTAATATATATATATAAACTTATTGAGCATATATATTTATTACATACCTTTATTTATTTATCTAATTATATCTATAACAGTTTTATTTATTTATGTCACCTACTACATAGTCTTATTTATTTATCCCGCTACAAAGGCCTCTTCTTTCCCTCCGAAGCCATCTTGCAAGGCACCCACCTCTACCTATGGTTAAAATATTGCGCCTCGGATATCTATTGATCTCAGATCTTTTTAAATATTAAATATCAAATAAGCATATTTCATCTTACGTAGTTTTATATCTACACATATCATACTGCCACCTCCGTTATGTAGATTAAAACAATCCAGTCCATTTCCATGACATACCATATATACAACCAAAGACACACACACATACGCGCATGGCGACTACACACACGGATTCTACTACATCCTGCTTCCCAACGGTCGTCTGTAGAGGATCACCTGGACTAATAACGGGGCCTGGTTACGTGTCACCTAAAAGGGAGAGGCTCAGTGCCTCAATCTTTCTACAAGAAATCCACTTCTTCCTATGCTTCAGATATCGTGCCTGGGTCATTTATTGATCTCGGATCTTTGTAGATATTACATATTAAGCAAGCATACTTCGTATAGCTTAGTTTTATATCATCTCCATCAATCATATAGGGTGATTAAAAGAATCCTGCCCATTTTCATTATATGCTATATGTAAAAGCATATATATAAACATATACACAGGCACACACATATATGTATGTACATATTTATCAGTACAATTCTTTGTGTATACGCGTACATGCATATATACATAGTATATGTATGATACATATACATATATATATATATACATAAACACATGCATAATACAGAAATACACACATCAATGTATATGTATACATATATGCATGTTCATGTATGTAGATATACGCATAAATATTATACATGTATATATATATACAGATATGTACTTATACAGGTATATGCACGCACACGCAGACACACACATATATACTATATGTCTATATGTAATACATTCACACACAGTATATATTTACACATGTTTATATATGTATATATTACATATAGATGTTTTTATTTACATATACACACAAAAGACACACATATATGTGCATGAATAGATATGTGTATGTAGAGTTTTAACAATATTACATTTTGTAATTGACAGTCACTCACGCATATACATGCATATAATCAGATATAAAGAAACTCGTCTAATCCGTCTGTGTAACTTATGATTGCACTCGTTATTTGAATACCCCTGTATGCATTTGTTAACCTGAATATATCTATTGTAGATTTAACATCACATAAGTTCGACATACCATGGATAGTATTTTCTAACTGCATCGTGGATAATACTAGAACAAAAAAACAAAAAACAAAAAAACTAGGTGATCATATATAATATTCAGAGCACATTTATGTAACATCACCGGAGGGGAAAACTCGGTCACAGGAGGATCAAGGCAGTCTTGTTGGGATGCCATTCCCCGAAGTCATTACATGGGCGGAGTATTTTTTAGGACTTGTATAAATGGAAGGTCTCTCTCTCTCGGCCTCAGTCTCACTGCAGTCTCTATTGACTAACATGGCATTCAAGGTAAGTCCTAAATACGAATTATATGAGAAATTTAATAGTTAATTTGTTGGCTTCTGGCCGCCTGCTGTTAGCGCGGAATATAATTTTAATCAATAAATCATTAAAAATACATTTTTCGTCACCTTATATATATATACTAATAACGGATATATATTGCAGGTATTTGCACTGGCCGCCCTTGTGGTTGTCGCTATCGCCCGTCCAGACAGCCCACCTACATACGGCTATTCTGCCCCCACACCCTCTTACGCACCCGCCAAGTACGACTTCAATTACGCTGTAAACGACCAACCATCAGGCAACGACTTCGGGCATGAAGAAGCCCGTGATGGCGACCACACGCAAGGATCCTACTACGTCCTTCTTCCCGACGGTCGTCTGCAGAGGGTCACCTACAATGTGAACGGAGATTCCGGTTACGTGGCTGATGTCACTTACGAGGGAGAAGCTCAGTACCCCACACCAAAAGCCTCCTATGGTCCTCCTCAGCCTTCCTACAAGCCTCCCACCCCCTCCTATGCTTAAAAATAGTGCTTCAGATATTTATTGATCTCGGATCATTATAAATACTAGATAATAAAGAAGTAATATTCATCTTTAATAGTTTTATATCCAATACATGGTTTCAGTTCTCTTTTAGGAAACCTTTGTGTTCAGCAATGTTCACTTAATATCTGACTGTTTGCAGATAATGCTTGAGCTACCATATTTGCAGATCTAGGCAATTCGATGTAAAAAACTTATGCTGAGAGAGAGATAATACATACATACATATATATCTATATCTATCTATATCTATATATTCTGTATACACACATTTGTATATTAATATGCATATATATTTATATTAATATATATATATGTATGTATGTATGTATATATATATACATATATCTTTACAAACACACACACACAGATATATACATACGCATATATACATGTATATATATATGTGTGTATGTAGGTATATATAAGAATACGTATATATATTCATATAGATATACACACACAATCAGACATACATACATGTATGTATATATATTTATATATATGTATGTATATATATTTATATATATGTATGTATATATATTTACATATATGTATGTATATATATTTATATACATGTACCATATATATGTATATATATGTATGTAAATATATATACATACATATACACAGACATACACATACACATATTCTATATATACACACACACATATATATATATTGATAGATATGTATGCATACGCATATATGTATATATATACATTTATACATATGTATATATGTGTATACACACACACATATTTACTTACAGATAGACACATTAACATATATATGTGTGTTATATATTTATATATTTACCTATATACATTATATATGTACATATATATATTCTTATACATGCACATATATGTATTATGTACACAGATATGGAAATTATAGATAGCAACGGTAGCGTGCGAGGCTGGGGACCATGAGGGTCGGTCACCCATGCGGGCATGTTCGAATCCTGCACCAATGGTCCGAGTTTAAAAAGGAAGGGTATCCGCTAACGGCCGCCTCCTGCCAACACCAAAAGTCCTTCGAAAGAAGACACCGTCCTAGCCCTTGCGAGTGAGTTCATGACGAAAAGCCGAATCAATGCATTACACTTCAGGTTGTCAGTTTGGCACGGACGTCATAATATTCATTCATATCATAAAAAAAGTACATAACCCACGAATACATAAAAAATAAACATTCAGACAGGCATGCAGAAATAATATGAGCATATACATCAATGAAGAGGAAAACTCGCTCACCAAATCAAGGTTAACTTGTTGGGATGATATATCTTGACGTCACGACCTGGGCGGGGTTTTTCTTGGACACTTGTATAAAAGAAAAGGCTCTCTGGGTCTTCGTCAGTCTCAGTCTTCGCAGTCTTTAACAGAATGGCATTCAAGGCATGTATATCGGTCATTGCAAAAGTTTTCTATTTCCCAACCATAAAAGATTGATCATACATATTTCTAACAATTCAAATGTACTGCAGGTATTAGCACTGGCCACTCTTGTGGTAGCCATCGTCGCCCTTCCTGATAGCCCGCCTAGATATGGCTACTCTGCTCCGACACCCTCTTATGCACCTGCAAAGTACGACTTCAACTACGCCGTCAACGACCAGCCATCAGGCAACGACTTCGGACATGAGGAAGCCCGTGATGGAGACAACACACAGGGATCCTACTACGTCCTTCTTCCCGACGGTCGTCTGCAGAGGGTCACCTACAATGTGAACGGAGATTCCGGTTACGTGGCTGATGTCACCTACGAGGGAGAAGCTCGGTACCCCAGCCCAAAGGCCTCCTATGGTCCTCCTCAGCCTTCGTACAAACCACCTACACCTTCCTATGCTTAAGGAACGGTACCAAGAATATTTATTGAACTCATGTCTTTGTAAAGACTAGATATTAAACCAGAAATCTTATCTGTACTAGTTTTCTATCCTATGCACTATATTTTAGAAAGGTTTTGTGTCCCAGAAATCGGAATAAGAAAATATATTCCTTCTTAGCTAACATATGTTAAAAACTTTAATTACTGAGGCAAATGTTCCAGTACAGCATCTGACGACTTGGTGAATTACAGAAAAGGGAATCTGTGTTTCAGGCAACAATAGCCACCGCTTTTCATTTATTAAATTTCCCTCTTGATGTGCTACGTAGGAAGAATAGAGGATATATATTGACATAAATTGTATTTCGCAATCAATGCTGGCCATAGTTTAAAATTCTTGTGACGAACCCCAAAGAAACAATGGACACATATATTTGTGCGTATGTATGTATATAAATACATTAATGAAGGCATTTATACATGTGTATATGCATATATGTATCATGTATATGTATCATGTATGTGTGTGTTTATGTATAAAAATACATTCATATATGAATATATATATATACATATATGTAGATATACACACGCATGTATACGCATGTATGCTACGTGTACGTATGCGTATACATAGTCATATACATACATGTGTGTGCGTGCGTATAAACAAACTTATATACACATATAATATTGATATACTGTATATATACATATATATGTATGTATGTACACACGCATGAATATATATGTATATATATATGCATATACATCTATACACATGTATGTATATATATGAACATGTATGTATATATGTGCACATATATACATACGTATATATGTGCATGTATGTATATCTGTAGTTATATCTACCTTTATATGTGTGTGCATGCGTGTACTTATATATATATATACATACAAGCACACACACTTAAAAACATACATACGTGTTTATATACACATATATATGTATCTACGTGTATATATTTATATATGTATATATATGTTTATGAGTATGCATGTATACACACACACACATATATTTATTTATCTATACATACGTGTGTGTGCGTGCATAAGCGTAAGTTTTTACATACATACACAAACACACGCATATATATTTGTTTGTGTGTTTCTATACGTATTTATTCACATATATCTATATATATATTTATACATATATGTGCACGTGTGTTTTTGTGTATAGGTAGTTATAGACATACATAGACAAACATGCACACAGACATATATACATACATACAGACACCTATACATACATATGTATGTTATATATACATATAAAGTATATATACTCTTATATATGCAAATATGTTAAAACAATAAGTATTTTCTAATCTCTTCCTATGATCAGTATGTTGAAAGGAGTCTAGATGGAAACCTTTATAATGACATCTGTATTATGGTGCTGTGATAACACAGGTGTACAGTAGAATATCTACATTAAAAGTGAAGTTTGAAGTTTGGTGCACTTAATAATGGAAGATTAATTTAGCCAGTAATTGCTCACAATCGCACAAGTAAATACTAGTGATTAGTACTTACTTAGTTTGGCAGGCTCATAAAAGCATGATCTTCAAACGCAAAATTCAGACATGCAGTTATGCAACATCTGAGTGGAAAACTCGGTCACATGCGGATCAAGGCAGTCTTGTTGGGATGATATTTCTTGACGTCATCAGATGGGCGGAGTTTTATTTCTGAAATTTGGTATAAATGGTAGTACTCTCTATGTCGCCTTCAGTCTCATCGCAGTCTCTCTCCACTAACATGGCATATAAGGCATGTGCTATATATTAGTATTCAAGAAGTTTATTGTTCATTTCTCGATATCTGACTGTCACTATACATACCAATTTCTTCACCTCATAAACGATACTAATGATTTAAATATATTTCAGGTATTTGCACTGGCCGCCCTTGTGGTCGTTGCCATCGCTCGTCCAGATAGCCCGCCTAGATATGGCTACTCTGCTCCCACACCCTCTTATGCACCTGCCAAGTACGACTTCAACTACGCCGTCAACGACCAGCAATCAGGCAACGACTTCGGACATGAGGAAGCCCGTGATGGAGACAACACACAGGGATCTTACTACGTCCTTCTTCCCGACGGTCGTTTGCAGAGGGTCACCTACAATGTGAACGGAGATTCCGGTTACGTAGCTGATGTCACCTACGAGGGAGAAGCTCGGTACCCCAGCCCAAAGGCCTCCTATGGTCCTCCTCAGCCTTCTTACAAACCACCTACACCTTCCTATGCTTAAGGAACGGTACAAAAAATATTTATTGAACTCATGTTTTTGTAAATATTAGATATTAAACCAGCAATCTTCATCTTTACTAGTTTTATATCCGATATACTATATTTTAGAAGTTCTGTGTCCCAGAAATCGGAATAATAAAAAAATATATTCCTTCTTAGCTTACACAAGTTGAAAATTATCGAGGCAAATGCCTTTCTTTTACTGAATTTCCTTCTTGATCTTGTAGAGGAAATATATATACATATATACATATATGCATATATATATATACGAACATAAATTGAAAGTACTTCGCAATCAATAGAAATAATCCACAAATGTTTTCGTGCGTATGTATGTATATAAATACATTTATACAGGCATATCTACATACATGTATACGCATGTACGCTGTATATATATGTAAATATATAGCCATATGTACATATACACACACATCACACACATACATATGTATACATGTGTACATAGATAACATATATACATAAATGTGAATTTGTGTATACACATCTTTAAACACACACACATATATATGCGTGCACAAGTATGTATGTATATAAATATATACATACATATATACATATATATGTATGTATGTACACACGCATGAATATATATGTATATATATGTTTATGAGTATGCATGTATACACACACACACACATGTATACGTATGTTATTGGTATATGTATACATACATATACATATGTACACACGTATGCATGTGAGCATGTGTATATATGTATGTATATATATGAACATGTATGTATATATATTTATATATGTATATATATGTTTATGAGTATGCATGTATACACACACACACACATATATATGCGTGCACAAGTATGTATGTATATAAATACATTTATACAGGCATATCTACATACATGTATACGCATGTACGCTGTATATATATGTAAATATATAGCCATATGTACATATACACACACATCACACACATACATATGTATGTTGTATGTACATATACAGTATATATACTCTTATATATGCATATGTATACTACACACACACACACATGTATACGTATGTTATTGGTATATGTATACATACATATACATATGTACACACGTATGCATGTGAGCATGTGTATATATGTATGTATATATATTTATATATATGTATGTATATATATTTATATATGTATATATACATATATATATATATTATATATATATATATATAATATATATATATATACATATATATGTATGTATATATATGAACATGTATGTGCATATATATCATATATATATATATATATATATATATATATATATATGTGTGTGTGTGTGTGTGTGTGGTGTATGTATATACATACGCATGTATGTGTGTGTGTGCGCGCGCACGCATGTGTATTTATCTACCTATATATCTATATCTCTCTATATAGAATATATATGTGTATTCTATTTATATATGCATATGTATACTACACACACACACACATGTATACGTATGTTATTGGTATATGTATACATACATATACATATGTACACACGTATGCATGTGAGCATGTGTATATATGTATGTATGTATTTATCTATCTATATATATACAGTATACATATACTATATATATGTATAGTATATATATGTGCATATATATATACTGATATATATACTGATATATATATAATTCTTAATCTTAATCTTCATTTCATTGTCTGTAAAGATATTTAACCATACTGCGGTTTTTAACCTTTTTACAAATACGCCCCCCTCTAGCTACTGGGGCAAAGGATAAATGAATGAAACCCTCTCTTGATTTAAACATACGATAACAATGGCTAAGATAAGTTCTCGTGTCACTACTTTAAGGAGACTCTAGGCAATGAAGGGAGACCACCATTACAGAAGTTGATGTTTAAATCCATGGTGTTCACAATACTTACTCATCATGTCAATTACTAATACGTTCTTCAAGGAGTCGGTCTCTAAAGTTGTTCATTTCAATAACCATTATTATTCTGTTATTGAAAATATGAACCATTAAAAATAGGTCTAAGAAGTAATGTTCAAAGCCACGTTTATGTAACATCACTGGATGGGGGAAATCAGATCACATGAATCAAGGTTATCTTGTCGGGATGGCATTCCCTGACGTCATAACATGGGCGGAGTTTTTCTTAGACTTTCGTATAAATGGAAGGATTCCCTCTTTCTTCCTCAGTCTCATCACAGTCTCACTCCACAAACATGTCAATCAAGGCATGTCCTATACATGCATTATTCAAGAACTTTAATATGTCATTTCTTTGTATATATATATGCATATATATATATCTTTAACTCATAAATGATACTAATGATTAATTTATTTTGCAGGTATTTGCACTGGCCGCTCTTGTGGTCGTCGCTATCGCTCGTCCTGATAGCCCGCCTACATATGGCTACTCTGCTCCGACACCCTCTTATGCACCTGCCAAGTACGACTTCAACTACGCTGTCAATGATCCACCATCTGGTAACGACTTCGGACATCAGGAAGCTCGTGATGGAGACAACACACAGGGATCATACTACGTCCTTCTTCCCGACGGTCGTCTGCAGAGGGTCACCTACAATGTGAACGGAGATTCCGGTTACGTGGCTGATGTCACCTACGAGGGAGAGGCACAGTACCCCAGCCCAAAGGCCTCCTATGGTCCTCCTCAGCCATCTTACAAGCCACCTACCCCTTCCTATGCTTAAGGAATAGTACCAAGAATATTTATTGAACTCGTGTTTTTGTAAATACTAGACATTAAACCAGCAATCTTCAGCTTTACTTGTTTTATAGCCATTCCACTATATTTTAAAAATCTTTGGTTCCAGAAATCGGAATGGTATAAGAATATATTCCTTCTCAGCTTACATCAGTTGAAAACTTTTTTTTTTTTTTTTTTTTTTTTTTTTTTTTTTTTTTTTTTAAAGATTCGCGAAGCAGAGCCTCGCCCGGGCTATGCCTATTTGGGGAGCCCGGTTGGTTGAAAACTGATGTGAACTAATGTTCTAGTACAGTGTCTGCTGACTGACTGAATTGCGGAAATGTGTTTCAAGCAACGGTAACGACCGCCTTTGTTTTACTGATTTTCTTTTATGATCTTGTGCTACAGAGGAAATATTCATATACATAATATATATATATATATATATGGACATAAATTGGAAATTATTGCCAGAAAAATGTAACGTTAAATATACATATTGGTATTTTCTCAACTTGCTACAACTACAACAAAATACTCCATTAATAATGCGTCTTTTCTTATACATGCCACTGCACTTTAATGTGTGCAGATACTTTGTTAGTGGCCATATGAATGTAGGTGGTCAGTCCATTGTGATTCGTTTATAATTAGTTTTTAATCTTAATATCCATTTCATTGTCTATGATGATGCTTAACCATATTGCGGTTCTTAACCTTTTAACAAATACGCTTCCTCTAGCTGTTGGGGTATAAGATAAATGACTGAAATCCTCTTTTGAATTAAAGGGAATTTTTTTTATGCGACAGATATATTGACAACACTAGCTAAGAGAATTCTAAATGTCAGTAGACGGGGCTCGTGCTCACTTTATATAAGGAACTCTAGGCAGAAGGGAGACCATCGTTCAAAAAGTTAATGCTGTAAATCCATTGTGTTCTTAATACTTTAGCTCCATTGTGTCGAATTCTCATTAAAAAAATAACCACGATTCTTTTGTTATTGTAAATATGTACGTGGCTTTAAAACGTAATGTCCAAGGCCACATTAATGTGACATCCTGTAAACATCCTGAGTTACGTTTGAGATAACTGATAATAATTTAGAAAAAAAAACAAAACATATTTACGCTTTCTCATGCTAAAGTATATGAGAAAATCAGGTATATATATATATATTTGTCCAATCTTGATGTATTCCTAAGTATATCGTTGGTGAACAAATATCAATTTAAGGGGTATATTCATATAGGATATATGCTGATGGGAATCTAGACATACCTTTTTAATAACATTTGTAATATTATGATGTCATAGTAAGAGAAGAGTATCATTATATATAGAGAAAAGAAAACTTGGTCACAAGCAGATCAAGGCAATTTTGATGGGATGATATTTTCTTACGTCAGTAGATGGGCGGAGTTTTATTTCTGGAATATTGTTTAAAAAGTACTCTCTGTCGTCTTCAGTCTCATCGCAGTCCCTTTCTACCAACATGGCATTCAAGGCATGTACTATATTTGTGTACTATTCAAGTTTATTGATCATTTCTTGACTTTTAAGTAGAGATACTAAAAGCTTCGCCTCTTAAATTACATTAATTATTGAAATGTACAGGTACTTGCACTGGCCGCCCTTATGGCCGTAGCCGTCGCCCGTCCAGATAGCCCGCCTAGATATGGCTACTCTGCTCCAACACCCTCTTACACACCCGCCAAGTACAACTTCCACTACGCCGTAAACGAGCCACCATCTGGTAACGACTTCGGACATCAGGAAGCCCGTGATGGAGACAACACACAAGGATCCTATACGTCTTGCTTCCCGACGGTCGTCTGCAGAGGGTCACCTACAATGTGAACGGAGATTCCGGTTATGTGGCTGATGTCACCTACGAAGGAGAGGCACAGTACCCAACCCCAAAGGCCTCCTATAGTCCTCCTCAGCCTTCCTACAAGCCTCCCACTCCCTCCTATGCTTAAGAAACTATACGAAGAATATTTATTGAACTCGTTTTTTAAAAATACTAGACATTAAACTGGCAATCCCAATCTTTATTAGTTTTAAATCCGGTGCATGGTTTATATCATGATTTAGAAAAAAAAAAAAAAAAAAAAAACGTTCTGAACATTAAAATAATATATTCCTTCTCAGCTTATCAGATTATTAGGTTAAATGTTCAAGTGTATCGATCGTCTTAAGAATCTTATGAAAAAGGCCTCTTTTTTTATGCGACCGTGTTTGTTTTATGAAATTTGCGTCTTTACCTTGTGCTACGGAGGACATATACTAGATTGTTATTTCTTATATAAAATGAGCCATCGTAAGCATAATTTCACGCGAGAGACATATGTCAAGGTATTTGGTAATAGAGCATGATTTACTTATTTCAGGGAATCTCACAGGATCTCTATATAATATATATATGTCTATATATGTGTGTGCGTGTATGTGCATGTATATATGTATATATATGTATATATACATATACATACACAGGCACACACACATACATACCTAGAAAGATACATCCATACCTCTACACACTCTCTCTGTATATGTATATTTATATATACATATATATACATATATATATATATATATATATATATATTCATATATGTATCATAATCATATATGATTAAACTTCCTCTTTTACGTTAAACAACTTCTGTTCTTGTATTTAAGTAAAACCATGAAAGTAATAACTTATAATAGTAATATTCATTGCGTATCAGTTACCAGAACAAAATGTACTTCTCATGAATACCTTTTAAATCATCTTTACACATGAAATTGTGTATTTCAAGAAACAGTTTTTGCTTCACTGAATGTACTTTTGATCTTGTGCTATGAAGAATCTTTTACTGATGAAAAAATAACTTTATTTTACGGTATAGCAATCTCTATTACATATATTTTTTTATTCGGGATAAATAATGGTGTATGAGGATGTTCGTGGTAATTTTTATTTTATTTCTTATATCTTGATGAATAGAAAACGATAGAGATAGATACATAGAATGAAGCATTTCCCCTGCTTGTGGAATGCACTAGGTTCCTCGAATGGCGCCAGCTTTGTTTATTTGCATAAAAAATCATACGGAAAAAGTGCTAAAATTATTATGGTCTTTCTAGTTTGTGTCTATATCGTCTCTATCAAAGACATTATAGAAAAGACTACTTGACAACGAAACATTATGAGCCAAAGGAGTTAAATATGGTCCAGCACTCTTTGCTCCCTTACTGCTTGAATGCGTGTGATTATTGCTTGAGCTGACATTAAAAAAATGAAGCATTTGATTGTAAGGCATTGATATTGAAATATATTTTTTTTGCTAGATCTATGTGGAATATATACATATATCACATTCATAGATATACATCTATATCTACACTCACACACGCACACACACATATATATAATGTATATATACATTCACATACATACATATACAGTATATATGTATATACACACATGGAAACTATGTTATATGAAAAAATGTCCTTTATTTTGTGAAGAAAATAAGTTCCCTGCATATCTCTAGTATTCCCCCCAAAAAAGCGTATAGATACGCATTTGTAATTCTTTCTCGATCAGTAAACTTTAGTCTGATACCAGTAGTATGATTAAGCTAATGCAGACATTACGACAGATTTTCACAGTTTGACAAGGACGCTGAAATATTCATTCATATCAGTTACTGACAAAAACATGTATAACTCATATGTATTTTAAAAATAAACTTTCACACAGAAATAATGTGAACATCTGCATTCCGGTAACATCAATGAAGGGGAAAACTCGCTCACCAAATCAAGGTTAACTTTCTGGGATGATATACCTTGACGTCACGACCTGGGCGGGGTTTTTCTTGGACACTTGTATAAAAGAAAAGGTTCTGTGTGTCTTCGTTAGTCACAGTCTTCGCAGTCTCGAACAAAATGGCATTCAAGGCATGTATATCGATCATTCCAAAAGTGCAGTTGGTTAAGGTTTGTCTATTTTCTAAGCATAAAAGATTGATCATACAAATATTTCTAACAATTCAAATGTACTGCAGGTATTAGCACTGGCCATTCTTGTGGTAGCCACCGTCGCCCTTCCTGATAGCCCACCTACATATAGCTATTCTGCTCCCGCACCTTCTTATGCACCCGCTAAGTACGACTTCAACTACGCCGTCAACGACCAGCCATCTGGCAACGACTTCGGACATGAGGAAGCCCGTGATGGAGACAACACACAAGGATCCTACTACGTTCTTCTTCCCGACGGTCGTCTTCAGAGGGTCACCTACAATGTGAACGGAGATTCCGGTTACGTGGCTGATGTCACCTATGAGGGAGAAGCTCGGTACCCCACCCCAAAGGCGTCCTACGGCCCTCCCCAGCCTTCCTACAAGCCACCCACCCCATCCTATGCTTAAGATATAGTGCCTCCGATATCTATTGAAGTCGGGATTTTGTAAATATTATATATTAAACTAGCATACTTCATCTTACGCAGTTTTATATCACCTACATAAGTCCTACATCTCCTCATCTCAGTGATGAGGAGAGAGGATGATTAAAAATAATCTACTCCATTTTCATTGCATACTATATTTACACAAACATATACAAACATAAACATACACATGTGGGTCTGAATATTACTTTTGAAGGTCAATTGGTTTATTATTATTTATGATACATACACATGCATATATATGTGTGTGTGTGTGTGCATGTGTTTATGGAGAGTTTTAAGAATTTGCTACACGTGATATGATGGTTTAACGAATATATATATATATATATTTAAAATGATGCTGCACTTAATTTGATGATGGTTTATTTATTTATTTTTGCTAACTACAACTTAATAAGCTAATGACAAGCGTCTACTTTTTTTCTTTCTACCATGTAAATGACAGACACTCGCATGTACATACATATAGTCAGATATGAAGAAACTCGTCTAATCCGTCAGTGTACTTTATGTGTCTGATGGCCGAAGTTGTCTTCACTTCATGTTCAGAATTATGCATAAGTGCATTATGCGAGGAATGGAAGTTGGTATTGTAAATGCACCAGATTATGGTATCACTTATACATAGTCAGCTACTTCTAGTTGACTATGTATTATTTAGTTGTTAGTTACGAATGTGGTATATATATATAATGAACGAGAGATGTACATACTTATTCATACGGAAGCACATATGTATTTATAGATATAGATGCGTTTCAAAATGGAACTAAATTCCATTTGTCTTAATCATTTATAAAGTCTGGACAGCACTGACTGCGAAACTAGGCATTTGTGGACCCTTGGGGGTTTGGTTCAGTGAAATTAAATAATAAAATGAAATAATTTTTTGATTATCGAAGCGGAAAAAAATATTGATTTTCCCATGAAAACATATTTTTCAGAGTACAAAATAGAAAAGATTTTCTCAAATGTAGAAAACACAAAATAATACACAGATAACCAAAAATAGTGCGTAACTTCTTGATATTCATTACCATTATAGTTTACAGGGTTCTTCAAAGTACGGGTCGCAAGCCAGTACCGGCTCGCAAGCTCATGTTTAGTGAGTCGCCACATTATAATAATAACAACAATAATAAAAGTAACACGCAACCATATATATATGAACTTACAAGGTGTTGAGAGAAAGGTACAATAGAATAGACATACTGTCTCCCGAAGGTAGTGCACGAAATAAAACTGGGTGGTGATGAGATAAGAACACTGGATTAAGAGCATCCATCTTTTCTGTCAGAAAATCTTTGTTTTCTGTCAGGCATTCTTTGTAGCAGTATCATTGAAAATTGCTTATATATTTTTTATACTTATCTTATCTTTTGTCATATTGTCCCTTACCTTTGCTTACCTTTGGTCATCAGAAAAAAAATTGTCTGATACAAATACCGATCATTAGTATATTGATAAATATATTACCAACACTAATACTCATCGGTATAACTGGTTGAATATATAATGCAGATAAAGACCTGAAAGACACATGTGTTATTATGTTATAATAAGAGAAGAGTGTTGTCCACATGCAAATGCAAAAAGGAAAGCTTGAACTCTCATGGTGTACTCAATATTCGAATATCATGTATGCATTAACTGACGTGTGTATATATACTGTTGATATCACAGATGCATGTTCTCGTGAATAATATTTCCTAAATGTATCTTGAATAGTAGTAATTAAACAAACATTAGGTAACCTTCAAGCATAATATTCAGATTTATGTAATATCACCGGAGGGAAAAACTCAGTTAAAAGAGGATGAAGGCGGTCTTGTCGGGATGGCATTTCCTGACGTCATGACATGGGCGGAGTTTTTCTTGGAGTCTTGTATAAATAGAAGGATTCACTCTGTCGTCTTTAGTCTATTGCAATCTCTTTCCTCTAACATGACATTCAAGGCATGTCTTATATACGCATTATTCAAAAAGTTTAATAATTTAGAAATACCATTTTGCTTCTGCACCTCATAAATGATACTAATAAATGAACTATACTACAGGTATTTGCACTGGCCGTCCTTGTGGTGGTCACCATGGCCCGTCCAGATAGCCCGCCTACATATGGCTACTCTGCTCCCACACCCTCTTACGCAGCTGCTAAATACGACTTCAACTATGCCGTCAACGACCCACCATCTGGCAACGACTTCGGACATGAGGAAGCCCGTAATGGAGACAACACACAGGGATCCTACTACGTCCTTCTTCCTGACGGTCGTCTGCAGAGGGTCACCTACAATGTGAACGGTGACTCCGGTTACGTGGCTGATGTAACCTACGAGGGAGAGGCTCAGTACCCCAACCCAAAGGCATCCTACGGACCTCCCCAGCCTTCCTACAAGCCACCCACCCCTTCCTATGCTTGAGACATAACGCCTCTGATATCTATTGAACTCGGGTCTTTGTAAATATTATATATTAAAGTAGCATACTTCATCTTGAGTAGTTTTATATCACCTACGCAAGTCCTACTTCTCTTCATCTCAGTGATGATACGAGATGAATAAAAATAATCCATTCCATTTTCATTACATAATATATTTATACAAACATATACGAACATAAACAGACATAGAGGTCTGAATATTATGTTTGAAGATCATCTAGTTTATTGTTATTATTCATGATACATACACACATGAATCTGTCTATCTGTCTATTTATATATGCGTGTGTGTGTGTCCTTATATATAGTTTTAAAAAGATGATGATGGTTTAACTTTTTTTTTTCTTATGCAACTAACTACAACTTACAAAGTTAATGCCGAGCGTCCACTTCTTGTAATCTAGTCTTTGTAAATGACAGGCATTCTCGCATGTACATACATATAGTCAGGCGTATAGAAACTCATATAATCCGTCAGTGTAGCTCATGTCTGACAATGAGCATGTTTTCACTTCACGTTCAGGATTATGGCTATGTTTTTTATGCGTCTGGCTTATTATTTATCATTAAAAGTAACTTTTTGACAGAATTATATTTTTAACTTACCAGACCAGACTGATGTGTAGAAATAAATAAAAATAACGCGTAATTTCTTTGTGGTTATTTTCACTATAGATTACAATGACTAGAGCAGTAAAGGGTCGGAAACTCATGTTCAGTGGCTCGCCACACAATAATGATGATAATAACAAAAAATTGTACGTATATATGAGCTTGAAAATGGAGAATTGCATATATGATTCATCTTAAATTTTGTCATGCATGATTTACCCGTAGGGGCCTGGAACCGGAACAATATTGTCCCCACCTTTGCCACACCAATGGTCATCAGAATGTCTTATAGAAATACCGACCATTAGTATATTAATATAATACCAACACTAAAATATCAGATTAAGAACTAAATATGTAATGTAATTTCTGTATTGTTCTTACCGTTCAGTTATCGGTATCCTCATGGGTGTACATGCTTCTAGAATATATAGGCAAGATAAAGACAATGACAACTTCACTTTTAGGTCATAATAATAGGAGAGTATCGTCCATATGTAACTGTAAAAAGGAAAGCTTGAAATCTATGTTATACTCAATATTCGAATATTATTGTATACATTAATTAACCTATTGATGGAGTCCAGAAGGATTTCGGAAAGTGTTGTCTCGTTTTCATAAATCTAGTATGTGCATTGTGGGTTTTTCTACCAGAATATCAACTCATGATTGATCAGTGTTTTTCTACTGTAGATCTATATTGTTAAACTCACATTTAAACAATAATCAGGCCCACATTTATGTAACATCCCCGGAGGGGGAAACTCACAAGAGGATGAAGGCAGTTTTATCGGGATGGCATTCCCTGACGTCATGAAATGGGCGGAGTTTTTCTTGGACGCTTGTATAAATAGAAAGACTCTCTCTGTCGTCTTTAGTCTCATCGCGGTCTCTTTCCTCTAACATGGCATTCAAGGCATGTCCTATATACGTATTTTCCAAGGCGTTTAATAGTTAATTTCTTGGCTTCTGTCATTAGAAATACCATTTTGCTATTTCACCTCATAAATGATACTAATAACTGAATTATACTACAGGTATTTGCACTGGCCGCTCTTGTGGTCGTCGCCATGGCCCGGCCAGATAACCCACCTACATATGGCTACTCTGCTCCAACACCCTCTTACGCACCCGCCAAGTACGACTTCAACTACGCCGTCAACGACCAACCATCAGGCAACGACTTCGGGCATGAGGAAACCCGTGATGGAGACCACACACAAGGGTCCTACTACGTCCTTCTTCCTGACGGTCGTCTGCAGAGGGTCACCTACAATGTGAACGGCGACTCCGGTTACGTGGCTGATGTCACCTACGAAGGAGAGGCACAGTACCCCACCCCAAAGGCCTCCTATGGTCCTCCTCAGCCTTCCTACAAGCCTCCCACCCCCTCCTATGCTTAAGGAGCAATTCAAAGATATTTATTGATCTCGAATCTTTGTAGATACTGGTTATTAAACAAGCGAGCTTCATTTTTAATAGTTTTATTTCCAATAGTTTTCAATTATATTTCAGAAAACCGCGTTCCTGAAATCTCAATAGAATGTATTTCTTTTTAGCTTAATTATGTGGAAAAAATATCGTGGGAAATGTATAGATAACTGCCTGAAATACGGTCTATATATTTATGTTGTGGAATATGAATGTATGTTTCAAGGGACAGTCCTTTATCTTGTGCTACAATTTTTTTTTTTTTGTAAAAAAAAAAAAAAAATATTGAGCATATATATTTATTTATTATTTGTTTATTGCATACTTTTACATATTTATTTAACTACGTCACCTATAACATTTTTATTTATTCATGACACCTACTACATAGTCTTATTCATCACGCCACAATGTCCTCTTCCTGCCCTCCGCAGGAAGAGGACATTTTGCACCTCAGATATCTATTGATCTCAGATCTTTTTAAATATTAAATATTAAATGAGCATATTTCATCTAACATAGTTTTATATCTACACATATCATACTGCCACCTCCATTATGTAGATTAAAGCAATCCAGTCCATTTACATGACATACCATATATACAACCAAAGACACACCCATACGCGCATGGCAACCACACACACTGATTCTACTACATCCTGCTTCCCAACAGTCGTCCGTAGAGGATCACCTGGAGTAATAACGGGGCCTGGTTACGTGGTTGATGTCACATAAAAGGGAGAGGCTCAGTACCTTCCTACAAGAAATCCACTCCTTCCTATGCTTCAGATATCGTGCCTGGGACATTTATTGATCACGGATCTTGTAGAGCTTACATATTAAGCAAGCATATTTCATATGGCTTAGTTTTATATCATCTTCATCAATCATAAAGGGTGATTAAAAGAATTCTGCCCATTTTCATTATATACTATATGTAAAAGCATATATATACACAGATACACAGGCATACACATATATGTATGTATGGGAATTGTACACAGACACACACACACACACACACACAGAGAAAGGCAAACACATATTTATTTGTACAATTCTTTGTGTACACGCATACTTGCATATGTACATAATATATGTATGATACATATACATATATACGTATATACATACATAATACAGAAATACTTTATACACACACATCAATGTATATGTATAAATATATGAATATTCATGTATGTAGATATACGCATTATACATATATAAGTATACATTATGCATATATATATGTATAAAGATATGTACATATATAGGTATATGCATGAAGACCCACATACACACGCACTTACATATATACCTCTGTATACACATACATATCTATATATAATACATTTACACACTCAAACACAAACATACACACACACACAGTGTATGTTTACACACATGTTTATATATGTATTATATATTTATATATAGAGTTTTAACAATATTCCATTTTATAAATGACAGTCAGTCACGCATATAATATACATATAATCAGATAATAAAGAAACTCGTCTAATCCGTCTCATGGTTGCACTCGTTATTTGAATACCCCTGTATGCATTTGCTAACCTGTATATATGTAGTGTAGATTTAACATCACATAAGTTCGACATACCATGGATAGTATTTTTTAAGTACATCGTGGATAACAATACTAAAAAAAAACTAGGTGGTCATATATAATATTCAAAGCCACATTTATGTAACATCACCGGAGGGGAAAACTCGGTCACAGGAGGATCAAGGCAGTCTTGTTGGGATGCCATTACCTGACGTCATTACATGGGTGGAGTATTTTTTAAGACTTGTATAAATGGAAGGTCTCTGTCTCTCGGCCTCAGTCTCACTGCAGTCTCTATTCACTAACATGGCATTCAAGGTAAGTCCTGAATACGAATTATTTGAGAGGTTTAATAGTTTATTTCTTGGCTTCTGGATGTCAAAGTATTCGCCTGTGATGACCTTAGCTGTTGGCGCGGAATATAATTTTAATTAAAAACTCATTAAAAATACATTTTTCGTCACCTTATATATGAAACTAATAACGGAAATTGCAGGTATTTGCACTAGCCACCCTTGTGGTCGCCGCTATCGCTCGCCCAGACAGCCCACCTACATACGGCTATTCTGCTCCCACACCCTCTTACGCACCCGCCAAGTACGACTTCAACTACGCCGTCAACGACCAACCATCAGGCAACGACTTCGGACATGAGGAAGCCCGTGATGGCGACCACACACAGGGATCCTACTACGTCCTTCTTCCTGACGGTCGTCTTCAAAGGGTCACCTATAATGTGAACGGAGATTCGGGTTACGTGGCTGATGTCACCTACGAGGGAGAGGCACAATACCTTCCTACAAGAAATCCACTCCTTCCTATGCTTCAGATATCGTGCTGGGACATTTATTGATCACGGATCTTGTAGAGCTTACATATTAAGCAAGCATATTTCATATGGCTTAGTTTTATATCATTCTTCATCAATCATAAAGGGTGATTAAAAGAATTCTGCCCATTTTCATTATATACTATATGTAAAAGCATATATATACACAGATAACAAAAAATAATGCGTAACTTCTTGATATTCATTACCACTATAGTTTATAGGGTTCTTCAAAGTACGGGTCGCAAGCCAGTACCGGCTCGCAAGCTCATGTTTAGTGAGTCGCCACATTATAATAATAATAACAACAACAATAATAAAAGTAACACGCAACCATATATATATGAAATTACAAGGTGTTGAGAGAAAGGTACAATAGAATAGACATACTGTCTCCCGAAGTTAGTGCACGAAATAAAACTGGGTGGTGATGAGATAAAAATTAAGAACACTGGATTTACTGTCAGAACATTATAGTCATCTGTCAGGCATTCTTTGTAGCAGTATCATTGAAAATTGCTTATATATTTTTGATACTTATCTTATCTTTTGTCATATTGTCCCTTACCTTTGCTTACCTTTGGTCATCAGAAAAAAAAAATTGTCTGATACAAATACCGATCATTAGTATATTGATAAATATATTACCAACACTAATACTCATCGGTATAACTGGTTGAATATATAATGCAGATAAAGACCTGAAAGACACATGTGTTATTATGTTATAATAAGAGAAGAGTGTTGTCCACATGCAAATGCAAAAAGGAAAGCTTGAAATCTATGTTATACTCAATATTCGAATATCATGTATGCATTAACTGACGTGTGTATATATACTGTTGATATCACAGATGCATGTTCTCGTGAATAATATTTCCTAAATGTATCTTGAATAGTAGTAATTAAACAAACATTAGGTAACCTTCAAGCATAATATTCAGATTTATGTAATATCACCGGAGGGAAAAACTCTTGTCGGGATGGCATTTCCTGACGTCATGACATGGGCGGAATTTTTCTTGGAGTCTTGTATAAATAGAAGGATTCACTCTGTCGTCTTTAGTCTATTGCAATCTCTTTCCTCTAACATGACATTCAAGGCATGTCTTATAACGCATTATTCAAAAAGTTTGAATAATGTAGAAATAACCATTTTGCTTCTGGCCACCTCAGAAATGACTAAGAAATGAACTATACTACAGGTATTGCACTGGCCGTCCTTGGGGTGGTCACCATGGCTCGCCCAGACAGCCCACCTACATACGGCTATTCTGCTCCCACACCCTCTTACGCACCCGCCAAGTACGACTTCAACTACGCCGTCAACGACCAACCATCAGGCAACGACTTCGGACATGAGGAAGCCCGTGATGGCGACCACACACAGGGATCCTACTACGTCCTTCTTCCTGACGGTCGTCTTCAAAGGGTCACCTACAATGTGAACGGAGATTCGGGTTACGTGGCTGATGTCACCTACGAGGGAGAGGCACAATACCCCACCCCAAAGGCCTCCTATGGTCCTCCTCAGCCTTCCTACAAGCCTCCCACCCCCTCCTACACTTAAGGAGCAATTCAAAGATATTTATTGATCTCGAATCTTTGTAGATACTGGTTATTAAACAAGCGAGCTTCATTTTTAATAGTTTATTTCTTGGCTTCTGGATGTCAAAGTATTCGCCTGTGATGACCTTAGCTGTTGGCGCGGAATATAATTTAATTAAAAACTCATTAAAAATACATTTTTAGTCACCTTATATATGAAACTAATAACGGAAATTGCAGGTATTTGCACTAGCCACCCTTGTGGTCGCCGCTATCGCTCGCCCAGACAGCCCACCTACATACGGCTAGTCTGCTCCCACAACCCTCATTACGCACCCGCCAAGTACGACTTCAACTACGGCCGTCAACGACCAACCATCAGGCAACGACTTCGGACATGAGGAAGCGCCGTGATGGCGACCACCACAGGGGATCCTACTACGTCTTCTTCCTGACGGTCGTCTTCAAAGGGTCACCTACAATGTGAACGGTGACTCCGGTTACGTGGCTGATGTCACCTACGAGGGAGAGGCTCAGTACCTTCCTACAAGAAATCCACTCCTTCCTATGCTTCAGATATCGTGCCTGGGACATTTATTGATCACGGATCTTGTAGAGCTTACATATTAAGCAAGCATATTTCATATGGCTTAGTTTACTTATTCTAAAATGGGAGATAGTTTCTTTATCATCTTTATGAAAAACGTAGCAAATGCTAATTGACAATGATACATCAGGGGCCACTGGAGCTCAATATGCTATAGCAATATCTGTTCCATTAATGTCTGATTACTTCCAGGTAATGATTAAGCAAGCATATTTTCAGACTTATTGTAAGGAATTCGTACTGTAAGAAAATTTCCGCTGGATCTATAGGTAATCTATCTTTATACATACATACGTATGTATATATATGTACATATATGTGTGTCTGTAGTATGTACACATATATGGGAAGTATAGTATATCATTACAATTTGAGTCGATTTTGTGGCTATATCGAGATGATATTCACGAGGAAGGAGCATAATTTATTCTAAAATGAGAGATTGCTTTATTCTATATCGTCTTTATCAAAAAAAAGATATAGCAAATGCTTCTTGGCAACGAGAGATCATTGGCCAATTTAGCTCAATTTGCAACGGTTATCTCTCTTAATATGCTACATATTTGCAGATCTAAGCATTTCGATGTAAAGAATTTATGATAGAGAGATTATTCATACATACATACATCTATATCTATATCTATGTATCTATATCTATATATTTTGTATACACACATTTGTATATACATATGTATATATATCTATATATATATTTACAAACGGACACACACATATACATACGCATACACACACACACACACACACACACACACATACACACACACACGCACACACACACACACACACATATATATATATACATTTATATATATACATATATATATATATATATATATATATATATATATATATATATATATATATATATTTGCTTATCAGACTAGAAAAGGTATTGTGTAGAAAACACTTAATAAAAAAGAAATAACTAAAAATAATGCGTAACTTCTGTTTATTATCATTATAGATCACACTAACTAGAAGAGTAACGAGTCAAAGACGCTCAGTGGCTCGTTACACAAAAAAAATATTTATGCATTTGTACGTATATATGAACCTGAAAATGGAAAATTGCATATATAATTCCTCTTATCTTGTGTCATACATGATTTACCCCCCTCCTTCTGCCGTGTGGTGCAGCGGTAGCGATCTCATCTAGCAATCATACTGACCTGCGTTCAAATCCCTCGCCGCCAATGGATGGTAACCCCGGCCATTCCTTGCAGACAGGGAATAGCTTAGAAGGAAATTGAAACAGGCATGGCACACCAAGAATATCCATTGTAACAAATGAAATCAAATATTGTCACCACCTGTGCCACATCAGTGGTCATCAAAAATAATTCTTTTGGTCTCATACGAATACCAACCATTGGTATATAAAGAAATATATTACCAGCACTTAAATATCAAATTGAGAGCTAAAAATATAAAGTATGTATTTATTGTATTGTTCTTACTGTTCAATTATCGGTATCCGCATGGGTATACATGCTTTTAGAATATATAGTCCACATAATGACCTTAATGACACCTGCATTATAATACCATGCATCCATATGCAACTGTGTAAATTAGTACAATTAGAAGGACTCTGTCGACTTTAGTCTCACTGCAGTCTCTTTCCTTGAACATTATATTCAAGGTATGTCTTATATACGCATTATTTAAGAAGTTTGATAGTTTAAAAATACCATTTTGCTTCTTCATCTCATAAATGATACTAATAACTGAACTATACTACAGGTATTTGCACTGGTCGCCCTTGTAGTGGTTGCCATGGCCCGTCCAGATAGCCCGCCTACGTATGGCTACTCGCCAAGTAAGACTTCAACTACGCTGTCAATAATCCACCACCTGGCAACGACTTCGGACATGAAAAAGCCCGTGATGGCGACCACACAAGGATCCTACTACGTCCTTTATCCAGACGGTCGTCTACAGAGTGTCACCTACAATTTGAACGGCGACTCCGGTTACGTGGCTGATGGCACCTACGAGGGAGAGGCTCAGTATCCCATACCCAGCCTTCCTACAAGCCTCCCACTTCCTCCTATGCATAAGAAACAGTACTAAGATAGCTTTGTAAATACCAGATATTAAACTAGCAATGTATGTTTTAATTGTTTTTATATCCAATGTGTTTCAAGCGAGTGTTTTTTTTTCTTGATCTTTTTCCTTGATTTTGAGCCATGGAAGATCAATACTAGACTATTTTTTATTGGTGAAAAACAAACAAGCAACTATGGCAGCTTTATTTACTGACTTAACTTTTACATAGTGTCATTTATCGATCCTAGCCCAATGGCCTCTTCTGGCCCTCCTCAGCCACCCTAAATGCCACCCAACCCCACCTATCTTAAAATATTGCGCCTCGTATATTAATTTATCTCAAATCTTTGTAAATATTAAGTATCCGTTATGAAGATTAAAACAATCCAGTCCGTTTCCATTATACTAAATATACACCCAAACACACGCATATGTACACATGTATATATCTGTATATACGCACACATATATGCACATTCAAATATATACACAGATACAGGGATCCAAATCGTCCTGCTTTAAGACGGTCGTCGGCAGAGGGTCACCTACAATGTGTACTGAGACTCCGGTTACGTGGCCGATGTAACCTACGAGGAAGAGGCTCATTGCTCTACCCGAAAAAGGTCCTATGGTCCTCCTTAACCTTCCTACAGGAAATCCACGTCTTCCTTAGTTTAAGATATATTATCTGGAATTTTTATTGATTTCAGATTTTTGTCGCCATTATATATGAAGCATACTTCATATGACGCAGTTTTATATCATCTGTATAAATCATATAGGGGGATTAAAAGAATCCAGCCCATTTTCATTGTGTACTATATGTAAAAGCATACACACACAGATATACCGGCGCACACAGATATATGTATGGGAATTACACACGCACACGCAGAAAGACAAGCACACGTACTTATTTGTACGTGTTAATGTGTGTACATGTGTACATGCATATATACATAATTACATATGTACATACATATACACATGCACACACATCAATGTATATGTATACATATATGCATATTTATGTAAGGAGATATACGCATAAATGTATATGCATATATATACATATAGATATGTATATATATATACATATATATATGTATATATATACATATACATATGTATATATATACATATAGATATGTATATATATATACATATAGATATGTATATATATACATATAGATATGTATATATATATATATATATATATATATGTATATATATATATATATATACATATAGATATGTATATATATATATATATATACATATAGATATGTATATATATATACATATATATATATATATATATATATATATATATATATACATATATATTTACTCACATATATATAGGTATATGTGCACACACACACACACACACACATACGGTCATATATATATACCTCTGTATATACGTACATATATATGCGTAATACATACATACACTCATACACACAGCATATACGTACATACATATTTATATATACTATATATGATCTATACATATGTATTTATATTTACACTCACACGCGCGCGCGCACGACCATATATATATGAGTGAATCAAATATAAAGAAACTCACTAAGTCTGTGGAACTGATGCCTGCACTCGTTATTTGAACACCTCATAAATTCAACTTATTGTGAATGTTATTTTCTAGGTGTACCATGGATAATAATACTGGAAAAACTAGGTGACCTTCATGTAACATCACCGGAGGGGAAAACTCGGTCACAGGAGGATCAAGGCAACCTTGTTGGGATGGCATTTCTTGACGTCACTACATGGGTGGAGTTTTGTATAAATGGAATTGTATAAAAGGAAGGACTCTCTCATCCTCAGTCTCATTGCAGTCTCTATTCACCAACATGGCATTCAAGGCAAGTTCTAAAAATAAATATTTTTTTGGCTTCTGAATGTCAAGGTATTCGACGCTGACCTTATTTTAGTAAGATAGTAGTTAGTGATAACGGAAATATATTGCAGGTATTTGCATTGGCCGCCCTTGTGGTCGTCGCTATCGCCCGTCCAGATAGCCCGCCTACATATGGCTACTCTGCTCCCACACCCTCTTATGCACCCGCCAAGTACGACTTCAACTACGCCGTCAACGACCAACCATCTGGTAACGACTTCGGGCATGAAGAAGCCCGTGATGGTGACCACACACAAGGATCCTACTACGTCCTTCTTCCCGATGGTCGTCTGCAGAGGGTCACCTACAATGTGAACGGAGATTCCGGTTACGTGGCTGATGTCACCTATGAGGGACAAGCTCAGTACCCCACACCAAAAGCCTCCTATGGTCCTCCTCAGCCTTCCTACAAGCCTCCCACCCCCTCCTATTCTTAAGAAATAATGCCCCAGATATTTATTGATCTCGGGTCATTGTATTACTAGATAATAAAAAAGCAATATTCATCTTTAGTAGTTTTAGATCCAATACATAGTTTTAGTCCTATTTTAAGAAACCTTTGTGTTTCCAAAATATGAATAGTTATAGAATATATTCCTTAGCTTACATGTGTTGAAAAATCTAATGCCCGAGGAAACTGTTCCAGTGTGTCAATGCTTAAATTTCCTTCTTGATCTTGTGCTATGTATTTTTTTTTTTTTTTTTTTTACTCGCGAGCATAATTTTATTCAAAGTTTCTTTTTTTTTTTTTTTTTTTTTTTTTTTTTTTTTTTTTTTTTTACAATGTAGCAGCTTATATTCGTGAGAGAGAGAGAGATCTTGTGGAATGCACTGGATTCTACGGATGACGCTAGGTTTGTTTATGTGGGATATTTTCCTTCTATATCGTCTTTAACGAACACAATATATCAAATGCTATTTGGCAACGAGACATCATGGGCCAATGGAGTTACAGCAATTACTGTTCCCTTAATGTTTGATTGCATGTTTAATCTGGCATATTTATAAATATAAGCATTTCGATTTAAGGAATTTGAAAGAGAAATTCCTCTGTATCTATGGGTAATATACATATGCATATACACGCATATGTATATGTATAAATCTATATGTCTATATATATCAATATATATCTACATATCCATCTCTTTATACATATCACTTATGAAATTCCTCTGTATCTATGGGCAATATATATATTCTTATACATACACATGTATATCTATATATATATATAATTATACATATATACACATGTATACATGTATATAACCATCTGTGTATATAGGAATTTGTATGTATATAGATACATTCATACGCCCACTAATGTACATACACACATACATACATGAGCATGTGTATCTGTGTGTATCTATACACATACACACACACACACACATATATATAAATATATATATGTACGTATACGAGTATATGCACACATACATACACATATAGATACAATCATATATATATATATGTATATATATATTCATATACATACGCATAAGTGTATTATTTACACACATATGGAACCTATAGTATATAGTCAACCTCTTTTATTGCAACACAGGGCAGCGGCCCTGGTGCACCGGAGAGCTCGCGGTTGTGGATCATGAGGGGCGATCACCCAGAAGGCACGTATTTGAATCTTGTACCAGTGGTCCGAAATTGAAAGGAAAGCAACGGCCGTCGTCTGCCAAAACCAAAAGTCCTTCGAAAGTCGCCGTCCTAGCACTTGCGAGGGAGTTCATGATGAAAGAATAATTCATTATATTACAACACAGATTTTTACAGTAAGACACAGGCGCCATTATATCAATTCGTATCCGTTATTAGAAAAAAGTGCATAACTCATAAATACCTTACAGATTAACTTTCACACAGGTTTGCAGAAATAATGTGAACGTATGCATTCCGATAACACTGTGAAGGGGAAAACTCGCTCACCAAATCAAGGTTATCTTGTTGGGATGTTATATCTTGACGTCACGACCTGGGCGGGGTTTTTCTTGGACACTTGTATAAAAGAAAAGGCTCTTTGGGTCTTCGACAATCTCAGTCTTCGCAGTCTTTAACAGAATGACATTCAAGGCATGTATACCTATCATTCCAAAAGTTCAGTTGGTTAAGGTATGTCTATTTTCCAACCATAAAAGATTGATCATACAAATATTTCTAACAATTCAAATGTACTGCAGGTATTAGCACTGGCCACTCTTGTGGTAGCCACCGTCGCCCTTCCTGATAGCCCACCTACATATAGCTATTCTACTCCCACACCCTCTTATGCACCCGCTAAGTACGACTATATGCACACATACATACACATATAGATACAATCATATATATATATATATATATATATATATATATATATATATATATATATATATATATATATATATATATATATATATATATATATATATATATATATATATATATATATATATATATATATATATATATATATATATATATATATATATATATATATATATATATATATATATATATATATATATATATATATATATATATATATATATATATATATATATATATATATATATATATATATATATATATATATATATATATATATATATATATATATATATATATATATATATATATATATATATATATATATATATATATATATATATATATATATATATATATATATATATATATATATATATATATATATATATATATATATATATATATATATATATATATATATATATATATATATATATATATATATATATATATATATATATATATATATATATATATATATATATATATATATATATATATATATATATATATATATATATATATATATATATATATATATATATATATATATATATATATATATATATATATATATATATATATATATATATATATATATATATATATATATATATATATATATATATATATATATATATATATATATATATATATATATATATATATATATATATATATATATATATATATATATATATATATATATATATATATATATATATATATATATATATATATATATATATATATATATATATATATATATATATATATATATATATATATATATATATATATATATATATATATATATATATATATATATATATATATATATATATATATATATATATATATATATATATATATATATATATATATATATATATATATATATATATATATATATATATATATATATATATATATATATATATATATATATATATATATATATATATATATATATATATATATATATATATATATATATATATATATATATATATATATATATATATATATATATATATATATATATATATATATATATATATATATATATATATATATATATATATATATATATATATATATATATATATATATATATATATATATATATATATATATATATATATATATATATATATATATATATATATATATATATATATATATATATATATATATATATATATATATATATATATATATATATATATATATATATATATATATATATATATATATATATATATATATATATATATATATATATATATATATATATATATATATATATATCAAAGTAGCATACTTCATCTTACGTAGTTTTATACCATCTACATAAATCAAACTTCTCTTGCTACACGTGATGGTTTAACCTTTATTTCCTTTACGAACTACAACTTCATAAGCTAATGCCTAACGTCCACTTTTTGTATTTCCACTTTGTAGATGACAGGCATTCTCGCATGTACATACATATAATCAAATATAAAGAAATTCGTCTTATCTGTCAGTGTAGTTTATGTCTATCCGATCGCCGTTGTGAGAAATAATGCATAAGTACATTGTGCGATGAATGGAAGTCGGTATTGTAAATGCAAGTTTTTATGCTTTAGGGCTATTTATCATTTAGTTCCGTATGTGGCATATATATATACTCATCCGGATGCACATTAAGTATTTATAGATATAGATGGAGTCATGCGTTTCAAATTGGAACTAAATTCCATTTGTAGATTTTGCCTTAATCATTTATAAAGTCTGGACAGCGCTGACTGCGGAACACTAAACTAATAGACACTTTTCCGAATCATGCTACTATATTACCCAAGAAAAAATGCATCTTGAGCATGGGCGTAACTAGACATTTGTGAGCTCTGGGGGTTTGGTTCTTCGAAATTAATTGATGAGATGAAAACATTTACTTTTCAGATTTCAAATGATAAAAGATTTTCTCAAGTGTAGAAAAAATGATCAAGATATAACCAAAACCAGATTGCAAGCTCATGTTCAGTGGGTCACACACAATAATAATAGTAATAGTAACAACAAAAACAATAATAAAAATAACATTATGTGAACTGATAAGGGGTTGAGAGAAAGGTACGATAGAATGGACATACTGTATCGCGAAGGTAGTGTACAAAAAGAAACTGGGTGGTGAACATAATTATAAGAACCCTGGATTAGAGCATTCATCTTTTCTGTCAAAAGATTATTCAGTCATGTCAGGCATCTTTGTAACAGAATAATTGAAAATTACATATCTAATTCATTATATTTACCTTTTGTCATATTGTCTCCTACCTTTGTTACACCAATCAAAATATTTTGATGTGATACAATTACCGATCATTAATATATTGAGGAATATATTGCCAGCCTTAAAATATCAAATTGAGAGCTAAACACATTAAATATGTATTTTCTAAATTGTTTTTAGTATTCAGTTATGGTATACTCATGGGTATACATACTTCAAGAAAATATAGTTTAGATAAAGACCGTATTGCGTTATTACGTCATAATAAGAGAAGAGTATCGTCCATAAGCACTGTAAAAAGGGAAGATTGAAGTCTATAGTGTACTCAATATTCGAATATCAATGAATGCATTAATTGACTTGTGTATATCTACTGTAGATATATATTGTTAATATCACATAGATGCATCGTCTCGTGAATTGTATTAAACAGATAAATTAGGTGACCTACAAGCATAATATTTAGACCCACATTTATGTAATATACCCGAGGGCGAAAACTCGGTCACAAGAGGATGAAGGCAGTCTTGTCGGGATGGTATTCCCTGACGTTAGGAAATGAGAGTTTTACTTGGACTTTTGTATAATTTGTACAATTTTACTACTTCACCTCAAAAATGACACTAATGACTGAAATATGCTACAGGTATTTGCACTTGCCGTCCTTGTGGTCGTCGCCATGGCCCGTCCAGATAACCCGCCTACATATTGGTACTCTGCTCCCACACCCTCTTACGCACCCGCCAAGTACGACTTCAACTACGCAGTAAACGTCCAACCATCTGGCAACGACTTCAGGTATGAGGAAGCCCGAGATAGCTACCACACACAAGGATCCTACTACGTCCTTCTTCCCGACGGTCATCTCCAGAAAGTCACCTATAATGTGAACGGAGACTCCAGCTGATGTCACCTACGAGGGAGAGACTCAGTATCCAACCTATAAAGTCTCGTATGGTCCTCCTCAGCCTTCCTACAAGCCTCTCATCCCCTGCTATGCTTAAGGAACAGTACTAAGATATTTACTGATCTCTGATCAATCATGTGGAAAAAAGATAATTATAAATGTATCGATAACAGCTGCCTGAAGTACGGTAATAGAAACTGAATGTCCTTGATCTTGTGATACTGTTTTTAGTGGTAAGAAAACAAACAAACCTATTGAGCATAATATTTATTGATTTATTACATAACTTTATGTATCTATTTATTACAAAGCTTTATTTCTTTCTTTCTTTATTTGAGTCACCTATAACAGCTTTATTTATATATTTGCATCACTTACAACAGTTTTATCTATTTATGTCACTTATTACATAGTTTTACTTAATCATCCCGCTCCAAAGGCTTCCTCTGGCCCTCCTCAGCCATCTCCAAGCCGCCCACCTCTTCGATGCTGAAAATATTGCGCCTCGGGTACTTATTGATCTCAGATCTTTACAAATATTAGCTATTAATTTAGTATACTTCATCTTGCGTAGTTTTATATCATCTACGCATATCATACACTCTTCTGCCTCCGTTAAGTAGATTAATATAATCTAGTCCTTTTTCATGACATATTATATATACACAACCAAACACACACATGCATACATTTATATATATATATATATTGTATACACACACACACACGCGCGCGCGCGCGCGCGCATGGCGACCACCTACAGGGATTTTACTACGTTTTACTTTCCGATCGTCGTCTGCAGAGGGTTACCTACACTGTCAACGGAGACTCCGGTTACGTGGCTGATGGAACTTACGAGAGAGAGGCTCCATGCCACACCGGTAAGGGTCTTCCTCAATCTTCCTACAAGAAATCCACACCTTCCTAAGCATACTTCATATAACAGTTTTATGTCATCTACATAAATCATATAGGGGGATTACAAGAATCCAGCCCATCGTATATCATATGCAAAAGCATATACATACACAGAAACAAAGGCACACACATATATATGTAAGGGAATTGCACACACACACACACACCAAAGTATATGCATACATATATGCATATTTATATAGGTAGATATACGCATGGATATTATATATGAATATATATATATATATATATATATATATATATATATATATATATATATATATATATATATATATATATATATATATATATTCATATATATATATTGTAGTGTACGGACATGTGTAGTCCCCAGGAAAAGAAGGGATAACCTATCATAAGAACAGTACAAGATGCAGGAGGACGATAAAATGAAAGGGAAATATGCTGTAGAGGTCATAAGTAAAAAATGAAGACAAGTAGAAGAACCTCGAGGCTGCATACGATATGTGGTGCATGTATAAGTGCAATATTGCACGGTGCAGCTCCTATCTTTAATTAATACTGTCACTTAAGCTCAATACTTAACTTTTCCCGTCCTTTCAGGTTTCTTAGCTGGAGCTGTCGGCCACGTAGTATCATTTCTTTAATATATATATTAAAATGCCAGAGGATAGAGGAAAGAGACGCCCCGTGGTGTACTAGAACAATGAATGTATTTTCACTCAGGCAGTACAAAGGCCGCGGGAGGCTGTGACGTCACGCTCGTAACGTGTGAACTTTTAAACATTAAAACAATATACAATAAAACGAAAATAAGCAAAATACAAGCTCAATATATGACATTAAAATAGTAAAAGAAATAATAGATATAATACATAAGACAGACAAAATACATAAAAACATATACCATCTCAATACAACGGACAGTCAGCAAGCGCAACCACACGCACCCACGTAGACACCGCACGCAAGCCCACGTAGACATATGCAGACAAGTATATGCCGACAGACATAAGACAGACAAAATACATAAAAACATATACCATCTCAATACAACGGACAGTCAGCAAGCGGAACCACACGCACCCACGTAGACACCGCACGCAAGCCCACGTAGACATATGCAGACAAGTATATGCCGACATTGCAACCGTAAATACAGTTTTTATA